CCAGATGACCTCGATGATGAGGATGAAGGTGAGGGCTGTTCGGGATATAAAGGGTTCGTTTCTTCCGGGACGTCGGGTCGATGTGAGCAGTGTGGGATTCCGTTAGTCCGAGACTTAGGCTCATCCGCGCTGCCATGGAGTGTCCGGAGTGCTGAAGCTGTGAACCCTGCCTCAAGCTTTGATGAAGTTCGCAACAGAGGGCGATTGAGCTACTCAGGAGGAAGTGTGCACAAGGGTTGTACGAGCGTCATTGTCCCAGTTGTACGGAGGCTCATGGTCATAAGCGAAAGTGCAGGGGATTGACGCCAGAGGCAGTTGGTGAGGGTACTCTGTCACTGGATTTGTCAGGTCCTCATCCAACTGCTTTCTCAGGACATCGATACTTCATGGTGGTAAAGTTGAGCATGAAAGATATGGGGATGACATTGCCTTCTCGAGACTGCTGTTCACAAAGCAGACAGATGAGGTAGCTAGGGCTCTGGTCTCGGTGATGTGTCAGGTGGTATCACTTGCTAAAGGGGCACCTCCGGTGTTCAGGATTCACAGTGATGCTGGTAAAGAGTTCACGGGAGGAGCTTTTCAGAAAGCTGTTGAGCAGTGTTGTGTATGGTCCACGATGAGTGCGCCGTACACACCGCAACAGAATGGCAGGGCAGAGAGGCTTGTGGGACTGTTGAAGTCTGCAGCAGGGTCTCTTCTGTTGCATGCGCAATTACCTCTGCAGTTGTGGAGTGAAGCGATACTCGAAGCCACTTTCTTGAGACGGTGTAAGAAGCTGAAGCTTTTGATTCCGAAAGATCGTCCGCATATGGGAGATGTGATCCTTGTGAGAAAGCCACCCAGCGCTCTAGATCATCAATTGGAAGGGGTGTTTCTGGCAAATGACGAAAGGACCCCAGGTGGAGCTAGAGTGATGGTGGTTACGGTTAGAGACGGAAGGACCTCGGTGAGGGTGGCGCAGATGTCAATCATGAAGGACGTTGAGGTGATCAGATGGCGAGTGGAACGAGGACCCCAAGATCAAACGGTTTGGGTGAGTACCACTGGGGATGTGAGATGGAATGCTCCACCTTCAGACATGATAACAGTTGAAGAGTCTGTAGGGGAAATCCAACCGTGGAACGACGGGAACACTGCATCTGAGATCATCAGGGGCACTTCAAGAAGCATTTGGTACCCGAGGCTGAGAAACACTTGTTCGGATTGTTCGGTCATGGATTCTTGGTGACCCCAGTGGCTGATGACGAACCTGACGGTGAAGTCAGAGTAGGGGTGGTAGAAGCCGAAAGGCTAAATCCTGAGAACACCAAGACTAGGTATGTGATCTACTCCAACAAGGTGGAACAGCAGATGATTAAGGATGAGACAACATCTCACCGCTTGATGGTCACAGAATCCGCGGATGCAGGGGTGTTCATGAACCCATCTACTCCGGAGTGGGAGCTCAACAAGTGGATGGAAGGACTCAGCAAAGAGCTTGACACCATGGAAGTCAAGAATGTGCTGGAAAAGGTTCCGCAGAGCAAGTTCCCAAATGCAAAGCCGGTTCCGAGTAAGCTAGTGCTGACCAAGAAACCAGTGGAGGATTCGGAGGTAATCATCAAATCAGACATGGGTGCTTCAGAAATCGCTGCTCTCATCCAGCAAGCTTGGAATCCTAGTGTGCGGCTGGTGGCTTGCGGAAACTTTGAGAAGGACTCAAAGGCACATGACCCGCAAAAACTTCGCAGGAAACCCAGGTGCGGAGACTGTGAGAATCTTACTTTCACTATACTGGCGAGGCGTCCTACCAACATGACGGCGGTGGTTCTGGACATCTCATGCGCCTTCTTGAATGCCAGGCTTGATCGAAGCCCGGATGCGAAACCGGTGTTGATTCAACCACCGAGCATCTTATACAAGCTAGGGCTCCTTGAAAAGGGCTTTATCTGGCATGCTCGGAGAGCGATTTATGGGTTACGGAGGTCTCCCCGTAAGTGGGAGCTGGAGCGAAATGGTGAACTAGACGGTGTGACATTGGAGCCGCTTTCTCACCATGAACACGGATCGCTGAGCTTGGAAAGCCTGGAGTCAGGTACATGGTTGATTCGGGACTCGAATGGCGAGATCCAGGGCGCCATGGTCATGTATGTGGATGACGCGCTAATCATTGGCGATTTGGAAATCTGCGCTAGGCTGAAGGCGAAGCTATCCAGTTTGTGGGATTTGAAGGTTCAAGGAATCCTCAAAAATCATCACATGAACCTGGTGGTTTGGGGAGACGATCATGCTGGAAAATACGCCTGTCCATGTGAAGGATGAGCTATCTTTTCTCGGCATGAAGATCGGACGAGATGACAACGGGATCTACTTGCATCAACATGCCTGGATTTCCACGGAGTTGAAGAAGCGTGGTTGGAGCACGATTGGGGGTTGTGATAACCTTCCTGATGTAGAAGAGGGTATGTGGATGCCAAAGGATCACACGGGTCAGTATTATGCTGACTTGAAGATGTGTCAGAAGGAGCTGGATGTCTACAGTGGGTGTGCCTGCGTAGCAGACCAGATCTGAGTGCATATGTTGGCACATTGGCAAGTCTGCAAACAATTGATCCTGCAAAAGTTCTTCAGCTATGCACAAGAGCGTGGAAGTACTTGAAAGGTACCGAACATGTAAAGCTACGCCACGACTACACCGATGCAATGAACGAGTGCTTGAACTGTTATGGTGATGCTTCTTGGGCAACAGGAGCATCCAGGTCCAGATCAGGCGTATGGATTGCATGGGGAAATCATGTTGTGATGTGGCGATCACGTCGCCAAACCACGTGTGCATGGTCAGCCTTTGAGGCGGAGGTTGACGCAGCAGCAACCACATGTCAAAGTGGAGCTCAGATAAAACACCTACTGAGTGCAGTCACTGGAAGTCAGGAGATGTGTTTGTTCAGTGATAACGCTGCTTGTGTCATCAACTTGGTGCGTGAAATTGCGTGAAGACGGTGTCTTGATTACGACAAGGACCAGAACGGTAGGTATCAGGTGTTTGCATGTCCGCGACCAAGCCGTCCTTGAAGGTTTTAACATGCGGCATATGTCGGGCAGCGAGCTGCCAGCCGATGGCTGACGAAAACGCTGAAACGATCGGCACTGGAGTTGGCCCGAGCTCGCTTGAACCTGAGGTGAACATGACGATTCCGAAACGTAGTTGAGATACGCTTGCACTACCATGGAAGTGCCCACTGAATGTAGTGTTCAGATCTGCATGTGTGGGATGCATGCGATAGTTGGCCGAAGGTTGCAAAAGGAATAGTCCGGCATCGCTCAGGCATCAATCTTGATACGATCTTTTGCTTGACCTTTGTGCGTCTCGTGTACAGAACGGGTTGGCACGCTCCCTCAGGCATGCTCGCGTGAGGAGGAGTGTGTTTGCACAGCCGATCCGCACAAATCGAGAAGTGTACTAAGGCCTTTTGTCAGGACCATTGAAGCATGGCCCCTGTGCAAGGATGACATTGCCAGGTCCATTGAAGCATGGCCCCTGCGCAAGGATGACACGCCACTCATGTGGCTCAAGCATGATGCACAAATCGAGAAGTGCACCAAGGTCTCGGCGAAGGGTTTTGACGTTTCCGATTGAGGGTTTGGGGTGTGGTTCCCAGGATACCCCCTGTATCCTGGTTCCCCTTTCTTCCTTAACTCTTTCAGGGTTATTCGGAGCTTGAGTTGAAGGTGGTGAGCTGTGTAGTGTTGATGGTGATATGGAATACAGTTCGTTAGATGATGTTCCACATAGTGTAAGGATGAATCTGCAGCAACAACAGCAGCAGCATCAGATTATGTCTCCAGCATTCAGCATCATCACTGTCAGCAGCCCTCACCAATCACAAATGCGTTCTGTACAACATCAGCAATAGACAGGTACTCACCACTGACGAAATCTAGCATCCTTCCGCCAGCAGCTACCGTCTTGATTTCAATATGCAGCCGCCCTGTAATTTCAGGATTGCCAACGACACTGATCACACACTGCAGATGGTGATAGATGGCTGACAGACACGCCTTGATACGTCCATCTGCAGCATCGTCAAAACCCTTCAGCTGTCAGGACACGGAGTGTTGGAAGTCGGAAGCGAAAACCCAACCATTGCAGCACCCATATTTGTCGCCACATAACGGCCAAGACACCTGCATCTCAGGTTGCAGGCAAGGCAAGGCAGATGGTTCTCCTGTCAGCTCTCCATCGGCCAGAACTTGCCAGGACACCTGCCGCACGACTTGTGGTGTGCGGAGCTTGGACTCGCCCTTTCGTTTAGAACACCAGAGGCCCCAGCCAAACACAGCACCTCCACTCACGCTCGGCCTGAATCTCCCTTCAGCCCTAAAGGCCCTAAAGCCTTGTCGCACCTTGAGCCCCAAACCTTGTAAACCCAATACCCATCAACACCCATCAATACCCTGAACTCCCTAAACTAGAAGTCTCCGAGGAGCGAGGTCCAAGGTTCCAAGGACCTGGCAGCGCCCGCGGCCTGTTTAACAGGTCTTCACGATTCTGAAGGCCGGGGGATTTCTGGGGATGAAGGGCTGTCGTAGGTCGGGATGCCGAAGGTCTTTGGGAGCCCACCGGATCTTCTGAGCTTTGAAGATCTTTGGAAATGGAAACCACACATCGGGTTTCGAGAAAGCCTCTCGGACTCAATTCAGGTTCGTTTTCGTTTTTTTCTCTCCCTGTCTTTCTATGGATGTTTCCCAAACAATGTGAGGGGTTCTTACGGTAGTCAGGGCAGGGCAGGGCAGGGGCAAATATTGCCGCTTGCAGTACCAGGTCCGCATTTGCCAAAAAAATGTACACGCATTCAGCCTACAGACCTGTGATATCCTCCCCTGCCCCTCTCGAGCCACCCCTCCCGCTGCTGCACGTTGTCTGTTCCGCCTGCCCGCCTGAGACAGGCAGCGGAACTCCCGCGCCACCTCGCTTGTTTTTCCTTTCAAGATTAAAGCACTTATTATTTCCCAACACTCAAGCCTAGTCTTCTATCATCAAATCTCGACGTGAGCAAGTTGGACTGCCGAAAGTTCGATTTCACCTGCCCCTACCAGTAGAACTGGATGTTGAACAGTGTGGAGTTTCTCATAGTTTCTCAGTGGAAGTTTGGAAGCTGGCCATAATTTCGCCGAAAACTTCGACGGGTCTGTGAAGCCAAACACCTGAACAACTGAACGGAAAACTCCACCGCAAACGCCGCCAAAAACTTCGCCGGAAGTGCGCTGAAGCGAAAAATCATGTTTGAGCGACCGGGCAAAGCTCAACAAGGCCGACCTGTCTGCTGTGCTTCATGCTGAAGATGCACTTCGTGTCTGCACATGCTGCTAACGTTAGCACTCGAAAACACCAGCTTGAAAGCCTCTGAGCTGCAGGAACCCTAAGCACTGGCGGATTTAGGAGCCGACCCAAGAACAAAAAACATCATGTAATCCCAAAAGCCTCCGCTGAAAAATCCTTCGTCAATACTGCCGGGAACTTTACTTCAACTTCACTCCGCAGAAAGATCTAGATGCATGCAATAAAGAAGGCACGCGGATGCGATTCCGCAGCTTCGGCTATGGCTCGGTGCACGTATTCGACCAAAGTGGCGGTCCCGTCGCAAATTCTACTGCTTCGGACTCGTCATGACTTGTGCATCTTGACGGATCTCCCTCCTCCTACAGCCCCGTGCGAATTTTGGTGTCTTCTGGGATGGCAATATGCGGAAAGTGTGTTTCCTACCTCAGTCACGTGCACATGTTGGCCCAAATCGCTCAAAGTCCGTCAAGCCCTAGTAGGGTCACACTAGTCCCCACCTCGGCGCTTCATGGTGTGGTCTCGAAATCGCAGCGTTCTAAGTTCTGCAGGGCTTATACTAGTTTCGTTGTAACTGTGCTACCACCACAGCACCGCGAATACTTTGGGTTGCGCCTTGTCCTCCCACCATGCGCCCCGTGCGTGTCTTCCTCCCGAAATCGTGCTCCGGTCACCGTGCTGTGGTGTTCCGCCTCCCAGAGGAATCGCACAGTGCTGTGCATGCTTGCGAAGAATGGTGTGAATTTTGGGCTCTCCGGCTAATCAGCCTGGGAAGTGCTTCTGGCACGGTTCTTGGGGCATTGCTTCGCCTGCTCGAGTCTAAGCTTAAGCCGGTGCACTGTGCATCCGCAGAGCGCATCCAGACTCGTTTGGTGCTGCCACGGGTAACCACCCATCCCCTTGTCTTTCTAGACCACGCTGGGAGTCCGCGGCACAAGCCCCGAAGCGGAGAGAGGCCTTTCACATGAAAGTCGACCAGCTGGAAAACTGGGCAATCAGGTGCCCAGAGATCATACCTCGCGGCAATTTGGCTACATGCCTCGCAGCTCGATTGCTGCTTCGAATCTACAACTTGTCTCCAAGCATCACATGTCTACTTACCCGACGGCTGCTTCTACACAGATATGATGAAATCCTTCCCAAAGGTACGGCGTTCCGGATCCGATCTTCTCGTAACTGCGCTTCATCATGCGAAATGCCTCCTCGCTGCCAAGATTGCATTGCTGCCGACAAACAACTGGGTAGCAATGGCAACGTAAGCAAATCGAGCACGTGGCCACTTTCTCTCCAATTGCCTCCTCGGGCTTCGTTGTGAAGCAGCAACATCGACACATTCGTCTCTTGCTTCCGCATTGAAGCTTCGAATCTCTAGGAGATGCTGTTCTTTGTGCAGTTTTGTGCTCTACTCCTGCTAGGCCAGGCGTGCCGGGCAGTCGACCTAGACAAATGCCGGGCCCATCCCTCTACTTCGCTGGGAGTTGTTGGGTCAAGCTGTTTCGGAGATGCTGAAGTTTAGCAGATAGACGAATCGCAACCGCTCGAACTGCTGTAGATAGCTATTTGGGAACCCCAAGAAGTCATCTTAGCATCTACGCATATTTACCTGCAATTACTAGTGCCCAGCAGCAAGAAGGAGCACACAACTGTTAAAAGTGAGCCTTTGTCAGGGGATCAAGCCTGAGTTTAGGCTGGGACGCGCATTTAGGCTTGGAAACTCTTGGTGTTGAGATGCCGGGAAGCTTCTCTGCATAGGGTGGTCAACGGGGAGAAATCCGAACGGACTGGGTGAATCCAGCAGGAAAGCAGTCCACAACTCCGCATGTGCGAAGAGAAGCTGCGTGGCATTGTAGGAAGAGTGATGCACATGAGGAGCATGCATTGGAAGATTTCACGAAGAGGAACTTGTTTACTATATTTAACGACCCCAAACTGCATGCTGTCATGATAGATCGGCGAAGACAGGGACGACATACACCCATCGCTCTCTCTTCAAGAGCCTGTCTTCATGTGGAAATGCTAATGTAAAAGTCCATACAGAAGATGTGGTCGCGAAGCCGTACGCCCCTTCTCGGACGAGACAATATTCATCGCGTTAGCAGCAACGGTGTTGTAGAGATGCCCCCCGCAAAGCTACGAGCGTCAACGACATTCAACGATCTTCACAGTAGGCACAACAGAAACAGCGGCGATAACAGCAGCACAAACAAAAGAAGCAGGGTGTTCAAGGCGTCCAA